ATAAAATCAGTTGTACATTCTTAGAAAAAATCATGTTTAACAATAATTATTGAATGTTAAAAAGGGATTTGTGGCAGTGCCTATACATACTACGACAACTGAGGAAGTTCAGGGTCTCTCCAGTGATCCTCAGGACTTTCTATACAGGCACTGTGGAAAGCATCCTGGTTTGGGAACAGCTGTGTCTAGGACAAAACAGTTCTTCAGAGAGTGATCTGTACAGCAGAACGCTGCCGCAGGGCTGCTCTCCCCTCCCTACAGGACATTTACACCAAAAGATGCTGGACCAGAGCAGCTCAGATACTAAAGGACCCTTTCCACCCCAGCATTAAACCGGTCCAGTTTCTACAATCAGGCAGAAGGTTCCGCACCATCTGGGCAAGAACAGAGAGGCTGAAGAGGAGCTTCTACCCTCAGTCAGGCCGTCCATGTGTTAAATCAGGACATGCCCCCCCCCTTCAACCATAATAAGCTGATACAGGACTCACATATTCCCATTTCATGCCCGATCCTTCTGACTTCATTGCGGCACAAGTCACTTTAACACCCCACTCACACAATTTACGCTCACAAATTTTGAACTGTAAATTTCCAGATTGTTTTATTCTATTTAACTTAATGTATATAATTCACTCACTTATTGCACATAATGTCTTCCTTGTATATATCTACTTACTTACTGTATATAATGTTTTTCTCTCTCTATTTTGTACAGTCGAGGAGCGTATCAGCTCACATTTCACTGCGTGTTATACTTGTATAACTATGTACGCGACAAATAAAAGGTTCTTGAATCTTGAGTCAGTGGGTTAAACAGGTTGATTAATTTTAATAATGTCTGGAGTATTTATTGTATCAGTCCAGCTGTTACATGATGTCATTAAATTAGCTCTGAATTTGTAACTTTTATTGACTCGTTATTGTGTTTGTAACACTTGTGATGACCACAGGTATGACATGTGTCATGATCCTGGGTCTTATGACCCAGCGGTTTCAGTTTCTTGTGTTTTGTCATTTTGTATTATGGTTTGAGTCCACCTTGTTACTTGAAAGTTTAGTCTGAGTCACTAGGTTTTTATGTTTATTTTTTGGTTGTTAGATTTCCCCGTGTCTTTGCTCCTGTGTCTCCCTCTGTATATCTGTAGTCATATAGTTCTGAGTTCCTGTGCCTTGTTTCCCCTTGTGTTTTATTCCATGTTCCCCAGCCTGTTATGTCTGCGCTCTCCTCGTGCTCTCTCTCCCCCTCCTGTCTGCGTCTCTGTGTTCTTCCTGTGTTACGTTTAAGATCCGCATCTTGGGTCAGTATTTTCAGTTCTGTGTCCTTGCTGTCTTTTATGCGTAATTGTCCTCAGCTGTGCTCCCCGTGTGTTCCCACATCCCTCATTATCTTCTGTGTATTATGTCCAGGGCTGGACTGGGACAAAAAATCGGCCTGGGCATTTTGACTAGAGACCGGCCCACCAGGTATTATAGGAAAAACCATAAAGCCTTTGAATGAAAACAAACGCTGTTGTCACAGTGATGTACACTGTCTTGTTGGTATATATGTATCTGTGGCGGAGGTGTGGTCCCGGGCGCGGCTGCAGGGGAGGAGTGGTGCAGTGAGCTCAACGGGGCGGTGCTGGAGACGCAGGTGAGAACAGCTGATGGCGTTTGGACTGGGTTTCAAGGGTCCACAGGGTCTGGGAAACACAAAGCTTTCACACTTTCTCCGCTCCTCCTCCACACAAACTTCTCACCAAACAACTCCACTCACGCTCAGGAGTCCAGTGTCATGGTACGGAGTAGATGCAGGAAACCTATTCACAGAAACGAGGGTTACTCCAAAGCAAGCATGAGAAATGACTGAAGTCTGCAGAGTCAGGTATTACTAACTAGAGTTACACAATATTCCAGCGAAGAGTAGCTCAGCGCCCGTGCCTTAAGAAGAGCCAGCAAACAAATGCAGAATCACAGGTGATCAGCTGCAGGTGCGTGGGCCAAGGGCAGGAGCTCAGCTCCACCCAAGCAGAGAGACAGAGAGAGAGACAGAGAGAGAGAGAGAGAGCAAAGCGAGCAAGAGGAGAGAGAAAAGACAAAGCAAACACAAAAATATTTGTGGCCACACTGGGCTGGCCGGGCAGGCACAGGTACCATGACAACAGCTGTAAGAATACAATCACTGAATGTTCAAAATGAACTGATTGATCTCTAAAATGGTACATTAGCAGGTTTCACCATATTTAGCCATTTATTCTGACCCTAAAGTAATAACAACAGGAGACTAATGCTGGTTAATAGTTTCACTTTAATGTTACATGTTCTGTCATAAACTGCCATAAAACTGTGAGATGTTCTAAACAATCTAACACCTCTGATGGGCTCACCAATAAAACGGATGCCCGCCCTCTCAGCCTGGCCAAACAAAATAAAAATCAACCACTAATTTTGACAGGTTGCTGAATTAAGACATAAATATCCAACTACCCTGAATACCAGACACAAAAGAAATCAGTTTAGTTTAAATTGAGGTTTGTAATGTTTATTTGTGTAATTTTGGTATTGGATTTGTTTAAATGCTGCATATGCAGTACCATACTTGTTGCTCATACACAACAGCGTTTAAAGTTCATTTCCTTCACTGGGCCCAATCTGGCAACTCCTGCGTCTCAAAGGAGGAGTCTCGAGGAATGTATTTGTCAGACACAGTCAGTCCCATCAGACCTGTGAAGAAAGCAGGACGCATGATTTCTGGTAAGTAAATACTTCTGTGTAGTTGTTTATTTGTTTCAAACATGTTTAATCCACAGGTCCAATGCACAAATCTAACCTTTGTTTCAGAGACAAACAGCAAGCAATACTTGTTTACCAGCACTTATTAAGCATATTTTTTGTTTTTCTTTAAATATTTGTTATAATATATGATATTATTAGATAATGATAATAATGAAAGATTTAACCAGTCATAAATAAATCAATGTTTTGGACACTCAATGATTCTTGTGTCAATGCAACAAACTGAACACAGGACTGGCCACAACAGGTCGGTCCACATTTTTCATTTATCAGATTTTTACACTGGTGTCCTTCCTGACTTCCTGCTTATCTGGCAAATGTGTTAAACACCACTTAAAAGAAACATTAAGTTTGACACATTTATTTATTATACAAACTGAAAAATATGGTCTCTTCTTTTTATGTGGACTGAAAATGATTGATTTTATTCCACTACAGGCCATCATGTGACAGTGCAAAGCTTTTAATGTTTTAATTATGTTTTACTTGACAATTTTTGCATCAGAGACTCATGAACAGCTACTACTTTTTTTTCCTTTGAAATGTATGCTTTTTTTTTAAATTAAAACAAGCAGTGCATCAGTCATCACTTCAATCGGCTTTTGTTTCTGCATGAAATCAAATACTGGATGGTCTCACTATGCGTGACTCAGGGTGATGTACCAAACCCATAATGGCATTTCCTTTTTTTTTTTTTAAATATTCATGTGACCTCAGCCCCCATAGAGAACGGAGCGGGTAGTAGTCACACTAAGGAAAACTGGGCAAAATATGAGAATTTTTCATTCTAAAATTGGTGCTGCACTTTTACTGAGGTGCCCAACAAAACACCTGCAAAATATGCAAAAGTGAATCAGGTAAAGAGTTTTTCTGGGTTTTTTGAATGACTGTCAGAGTGTTTTCACACCTATTGTTCATCTACTCTGGTTTGAATCAGTTAATGAGTTTAGCAGGAGACACAAAAACTGAGCTGTTCTGTACTTAATTTGTGAATAACAATGAGAGTTTATATTCATTTCCCAGCTAGTTGCTGTAGTTTGAGTGCATATCCCAGAATGTGTAGTATACCCGCCTGTGGGAAGCATACTTGCAAAGTATGCTGTATGGTTTTTTGGGCTTTCTGGAGCCAGAACCTGTTGGAGAGATTATATGTCTTGTGTGGCCTGAGAATACTTTGGGATCCCACTGGAGGAACTGAACTAAAAGTGCTGCTTGAGAGAATGACACCTGGAATAGCCTGCTGTCACTGTGGACCAACTTTGAATAAGCAGAGATTGTAGGTGGATGGACAGATCAATGGATGGTTGGCTAACTGGATAAACAGTTGCGGTGAACAGCAAATGGACAGACATGAGGAGATTTTGGAAATTAGACCTTAGAACTGAAGAAGCTTCTCAGATGAGAGGTGAAACATCTTCAAGCAACTTAAAGAAGTCCAGACGCTTTTCTTTGCAAGCTCCTTTGATTATTTGTATGATAGTCCATTTGCGTTTTCTCTCTGATTTTTTTAATGACTTTTTATTGTATACTTTTCTTTGCTATTTGGTGTTTTCCTTATTTTTCAACTTGTAAAGTTTTAGTTTATACCTATCATACTATCGGTGTATCAAATACTTATTGGTTCCCACAGCTTAATTTGCTGCATATTCTTGCTTTTCAATGACAATAATTAAGAGTGTGACGTATGCCTTTCTGGAATGACGCATAACCTGATGCATACGTCTTGTTTTCACAGTGAAACTATTTGGCATTCACCTTATCACACAGAATGGTACAACAGTGAAGCAAGTCAGTAAAATTCCACTGTTCAGTCTGTCTGGATCTACTGAACGATCCAGTCACTATTCCCTGTGGACACAACTACTGTATGAGTTGTATTAAAGGACAATGGAATAAAGAGGATCCAAAAGGAGCCTACAGCTGTCCTCAGTGCAGAAAGAGTTTCATATCAAGGCCTGATCTGGAGAAAAACAGCATGTTAGAAGGGTTAGGAGAGGACTTGAAGACATCTGGACACCAAGCTGCTTCAGCTGATCTCTGCTATGCTGGACCTGAAGATGTTTCCTGTGATGTCTGCACTGAAAAGAAGCAGAAAGCAGTGAAGTCCTGTCTGGTATGTTTGGTTTCTTACTGTGAGAAACACCTCCAGCCTCACCATGACTCCTCTGCCTTTGACAAACACAAGCTGGTCAAACCATCCAACAGGCTGAAAGGGAACATCTGTTCAACTCATAATGAGGTGATGAAGACGTTCTGCCGTACTGATCAGCAGTGTATCTGTTATGTCTGCTGCATGGACAAACATAAACGCCATGTAACAGTTCCAGTTGAAGTTGAAAGGGCAGAAAAAGACAAAGACCTTAAGATGAATCTGCAGGAAGTCCAGAAGAAAATTCAGACCAGAGTGGAGGAAGGTAAAGTGCTTGAGAAAGAGATGGAGGGGATCAAACTGTCTGCTGATAAAACAATTGAAGACAGTGATGCCATCATCAATGAGCTGGTGAGTTACATTAAAGAAAAAGGCTCAAATCTAAAGCAGCAGATCAAATCCCAGCAGGAAACTGAAGAGAGTCGAGTCAAAGAGCTTCAGAATAATCTGGAGCAGGAGATCACTGAGCTGAGGAGGAAAGAAGAGGAGCTGAAGCAGCTTTCAGACACAGAGGGCCACACTGAATTTCTACTAAGTTACTCCATGATGTCAAAACTCAGTGAAAATACAGATTCACCAAGCTTTAAAATGTGTCAAGTTAAGTACTTTGAGGATCTGCAAACAGCAGTGTTAGAAGCCAGAGAAAATCTCAAAGCATTTCTAAGTGAGGAATGGAGGAAGATCACTCTGACAGTGAGATCAGTGGATGTTTTATTGCCACAAATTGAACCTAAGATCAGAGATGACTTTTTAAAACATTCATGTCAACTGACGATGGACCCAGATACAGTCCACAAAAATCTCTTCCTATCTAATCAGAACAGAACCGTATCAGACAGTGCTCCAAATCCAAATATCTATCCTGCATATAAAACAAGGGACAGGTTTTCCATCCAGCAGCAGGTCCTGAGTAAGGAGAGTCTGATTGGACCTTGTTACTGGGAGGTGGAGATGAAAGGGAAAGGTCTTTCAGTAGCCGTGACGTACAAGAATAAAAACAAACTGGATCAAAGTGAATTTGGAAGTAACAATAATTCTTGGAGATTAGATTGTTACAAGGACAGTTATAAATTCAGACACAATAAAATCACAACTCCCCTCTCAGGCCCTCTGTCCTCCAAAGTAGGAGTGTACGTGGATCCCAGAGCAGGTGTTCTTTCTTTCTACAGCGTCTCTGACACCATGGCCCTCCTCCACAGAGTCCAGACCACATTCACTGAGCCGCTCTATGCTGGGCTGTGGATTTGGAAGAGTTATTGGGCTGAAAACACTGCTACATTTAATGAGATAAAATAGACCGTCTTCATTGGTTTGTGAACCCATCTTGTTCTTTTCTTTATTCGCTGGTCAAATGCCAATCAAACATCTTAAACCCTCCGTGACACCAGAGAAATATGAGAAATATTTCATATTTCTCTGACACCTGCATAGATTTCTTTGTGCAGGAACTTGAAATCAGTAGCAGCTAGGTATGACGAGTGCCAGTGTCTGCACATGTATCATTAATCAAAATGTGAGATTTGTTTTGTACGGTTTATACTGTTGCTGTGAGGTTCTCTCTTTTACTGTATGAATCATTCATGAACTTTCTCAATCATTTTCTATGTCTTCCTTTCACTTTTAAGCATTTTAAGGAAATAACTGTAATGTGTTGATTACACCCATAATAATAATAATAATAATATAAAATCTATTTTACATTCTTAAAGAAATCATGTTTAACAGTAATTATTGAATGTTAAAAATGAATTAGTGAAGACAGTGGGTAAACAGGTTAACTAATTTTATGTCTGGAGTATTTATTGTATCAGTCCAGACATAATGTCATTGAATTACTTCTGAATTTGTAACTTTTATTGACACGTTATTGTGTTTGTAACATTTGTGATGAACACAGATTTATTTTATTACATCCACTTATTTATATAATTCAGTATTGGAGTATAATGCAGGATTTTTCTGTCACCACACAAAATCTGAATACAAATGTTTTGTAGCATCTCTGACACTGTGATCGTCCTCCACAGAGTCCAGGATGTTCACTGAGCTGCTCTATGCTGAACTGTGGATTTGGAAGAGTTGGGCTAGCACCACTCAATGACATAAGTTTCACTGGTTTGATCAAAGACCTGATGAGAAAAATGTGTGTCAACTATTTTGTTGCTTATTACTCAATAAAATGATATCTGACCAGTTTCCAGTGTGGGCTGGGCTGTGTGTTCTTTTATTTCCTGTTGATTTAATTTATTAGGATTTTAAGAAGCTGACTCCTCGGGCTTTAATTAGTGAGTGACATCTGAATTATATCCATATAAAACGTGAAATGAATATGTATTCATAGTTTATATCTATGTTGTTTCTGTATGGTATTTCTGTTCTACTGCACGAATCATCGATGGAGTCCGTCACTCTTTCAAGATGCTGAGAGATTTGTTGCTAACATAATCTCAATACTATGATAATCAATAAAAACTCAAGTGTATATTCTTCTTTTAAAATTGTTTAACAGACATAACTGAATATGACAAAATGAATGCAGAGATCGAAAAATTGTTTTACAGACTGCTAATGTAACAAGAGTGTATCTACGTTGGTCAAAAGAATCCACGCTTCCTACTGATATCTACATTTCTTTTTTATTCCTCTCACAATCACGGAGCACCGTGAAAACTACAAACTAGTAAAATAATAACAATAGTACATATGACATCCATCTCAGACACTTATTTCTTTTCACAAAGTGTACAAGTGCTTAACAAATTAACCAGCATAATGTTTTTTTACCGTGTACGCCTTGTAAAACCAGCAGTAGAAAAGTTGTAGATTCCGAAAAGTCCTCTGTGTTATCGTTCTGTCTTGTCTCTCCCGTGCACAACTTCCGGTTCCCGCGACTCACGGAGGAAGCGACTACTTCACAATCATTTTAACAGAGGCATTCTTTATAAGAAAATGTATACCTGGACTCATAGATTATCTATTTTCACTACAAGTGTTCACAAATATGAGTAAAGGAAAACAAATACAAAACAATATAATCTCAGACGCGCTTCTGCCGTTGTTATGGCAACCCACAGAAACATTCCAGCGTCAGCTACAAAGAATATTAACAACATTAATAAAGCTGACTATTTTGAATAATGCCTAAAGTATTTAATATGTGTTTATTATAGAAACAACAAAAGAATATAACCAACATAATAAACTTTATATATTTATATAATAAATTCATGACTCATTCCAACATGGATGATGATGTTTAGTATTTAACTTCTTATATAATAGAGTATCTTGTACATTCTATGTAGAATAATGAAATCTACTTATCCATCCTCTTCTGTTTATCTTTTTCACGGTCATGGGGAGGTGGGGCCTGTCCCAGATATCTTAGGGTGAGTGGCAGGGTACACCCTGTAAAGGTTGCCAGGTTAACCTATCCCCACCAACTTCATATCTTTCGACTGCAGGAGGAAGCCGGAGTACCCCGAGAGAATCCACAAACTTCGGGAGAACATGCAAACTCCCCACAGAAAGACCCGGGCCTGATAGTGGAATTGAGCTCAAGACCTTTTTGCTGTAAGGCAACAGTCCTAACCACCATGCCACCCAAAATCTACTCATATCATGGTAATTTTGAAGTAAAGGAAAAGGTGACTCTGAATTTAGAAAAATACAAGATCTTGTCTAATTTCAGTATGAAGTTTAGGACTCTGCTTGGCCTAGCCTTAGACTAAAAAGTGTTTTGAAGGGACACAGTAGTTTCTTTTAGATGTGGGAATACGCTTAATCTATGTGTGGATTTGAGAGCTGAGAGCTGATCTTAACTCCCAGCTGATCCTAAGAGCTTCTGGATGTGACCTGCAGATGGAAGCATTACTGCACAGACAGACCTGGAAATTCTCCTCCTCATACTACAATATATTGATGCATACAATGAATGATTCTGCCAGAATCCATTAAAGAGTTTTAAAGGAGCCACAAAAGAAGAATGTGCTGTTAATCACTATTCTTAAATAGTGATTAACAACACAGACAACACAGAGAAATTATATTTCCTTTACAGCTAGTTGCTGTAGTTTGTGTAGGTCACTTTGAAAATCCCTGAATACAAAGCAAAGCTGGCTATAGAGTGACGGTTATCGCAAATTTGCAATGTATACTCGGTAGTTGGGTCAGCTTTAGGTTGTTTGTTTTCCTCAGGCAAAGATGCAAAGGAATATATCGCAGTCTGTTTATTCTGTGCCAGAAGCAACAGCAGCTCCGACCCCCCGCAGAACTCCTCCAGCCCTTGTTGGTTCCTAATGAACTCTTCTCACATATAACTCTTGTTACTGTCCATTCCAAGGTGAAAAGTCGTTCACACCATCATAGATGGGTTCTGTCGGTCAGGCCACATAATTAACCAAGGAAAACATTTTCCAATGCCTCTGAAGCAGTAGAAGAAGCAGCAGTAGTACAGGTGTTTTGTCTCCATGGTCTTCAAAATACAATAGTCTCTGACAAAGGACTCTTTTTCTGATGCGCTATGCTCAGCTTTAGGAGCTGAAGTAAACCTTGACTCAGGCTTCCATCTGTAATCTAATGATCAAACAGGTTTAACCAGGAGCTTGAAGCTGTTCTAACTAACCCCTCTTTCTGGAGTTCCCAGTTGTCTTGGGTGGAATACCTCCATAATAACATGACCTCAGCTGCCACTAGACTAGGTACTATGTAAAAGTATCCATTTGTCATATTACAGTTTGCCCTAACTCAGAAAATAAACATTGCTAAGTGTGGCCTCTGCCTACATTTATTTCCTATCCAAATTCCACTGGACTGTCAAAATCACTGTTATAGTGTTTGGTGAGTGGCCGTTTCAAAAATGAATTAATGTTAATAGTGTTAAGTCAAGGTATGTGGCAGCTGAAACTTCAGAGTTTCCATATATGACCAGCAGATGGCAGCATTAACTTACAGACAGACTTGTGTAAACTACTGCTGTATGTGCACCTCGGCTGCCACAATGTCTGCGTTATGCTGTGTAATGTCAATGAAGAAATGAGCAGGTCCTCTAACCTACACACAAGGTGTCTGCTGTTAAAACAAATCTTGTCAAGTTTCAGAAATGCAGAGAAATACATTAAAAAACATTAAAAAACAAACGTGGGTAAGAAAAACTCTCTTTTAACAGGAAGAAAAGAAACCTCCAGCAGAACCAGGCTCAGGGAGGGGCAGCCATCTACCAACACTGGTTGGGGGTTAGGGGAGGAAGGATAAAAGACAGGCTGTGAAAGAGAGCCAGAGATTAATTATAATAATAATAATAAAAGCAGAGAGGTGTATTAGGACATGAGAAAGGCGACTGAAGAAAAAATACCCAAGGCATCATGGGAATCCCCCAGAAGCCTACGTCTATTGCAGCATAACTAAGGGAGGATTCAGGGTCAGCTGGTCCAGCCCTAACTATATGCTTTAGCAAAAAGGAAAGTTTTAAGCCTGATATTAAAAGTAGAGATAGTGTCTGTCTCCCGAATCCAAACTGGAAGCTGGTTCCACAGAAAAGGGGCCTGAAAACTGAAGGCTCTGTCTCCCATTCTACTTTTAAATACTCTAGGAACAACAAGTAGGCCTGCAGAGCGAGAGCAAAGTGCTCTAATAGGGTGATATGGTACTACAAGGTCATTAAGATAAGATGGGGCCTGATTATTTAAGACCTTGTATTAGTGTGTGAAGAAGACTCTCCATTTACATGAACAAATTGGAGTCTATTAGATAGATATGATACAAACCACTGTAGCGCAGTACCTGTAATACCTACAGCGTGCTCTGATCGCTCTAATAGGATATTATGGTCAACAGTATCGAACGCTGCACTAAAGTCTAGCAGGACAAGCACAGAGATGAGTCCACTGTCAGAGGCCATAAGAAAAATAAGCTGTTTCTGTGCTGTGATGGGCTCTGAAACCTGAGTATGATGATTCATATATGTATATTAAATGTTGTGATGTGTTTCAGTCATGTGCGTTAAGCTGTATTAACTGATGCAGGCATGTCTTGAAAGACAAAACACATGAATATATAAATATGATAAAATCCCACCAACACATTACTTGAAGTACTCACATCATTAAGCAGTTTCTGTGATAATAATGCAGATTTACAGGTGTGCACTCAAAGAGAAAACACATTAAATAATTCTCTGACTTATATCTGTGCAAACATAATATTACTATATGTAAATTAAGCTGATAAATAACTCAGAGGGTTTCTTCTTCTCTTCTTTTTTTTTCCAAGCAGTAACTCCAGCTATTGTTTTGTTTTCATAAGCCATTTGAGGCTTTAAGCTGTCATGACTAATCTACTTCCTGATTCTCTCTGGCTGAGCTATAGAACAAGAGAGGATCGGAGGTGAGTTGAGGTGGTCTGTGTGTCTCAGCTCCCTAAGCCTTTTAGAGCCACTGCTGCTTCTCGGAAACGCACACTGATCTTTTTATCTTTTTACAAAGGTAGGTTTGGGACACACAATCAAAGACAAAGCACTGCTGTGTCAAACGCCTGGTGGTAGCTGGGAGACTCCCTGGTGCTTTGAGAGGCCATCCCATTACCAAAAAACCGATTAAAAGTTCCCTGCTCTCAAAGGCTGAGGTGTCCTGCCAAAGTGGCCTTAAAGCAGG